TTGAATATATTGAATGAAGTTTTGTTATATGGAATAAAATCAGAAGTCATCCATGCACTGGCACCATGTGATGTGTAAAAGAATAAAAAGGTTATGTGATGGAAGTCATAGACTCATCGTACAAAACATAAACACACACACACACACACACACACACATGCATTTTTAAAAGCGTGGACCGGAAGTGCTCGTGCTGTGCGGTGTGGGTGCCAATCAGTGGGGTCCACCTGCCTCACCTGTCTATATGAGCGGCTCTCTCCGGGCAGCGTGGCCGCGCTCTCTGCTCCAGGCCTCCGTCGACACCTGTGGATAAGTAGCTGCAGCGGCCCGGCACGGGAACTCTGTCTCCGGCTGTAACCATGGCCAGGACCGGCGTCTCCGACCCCAAGCCCCTGCTGGACTTACACAAGAGGGTGAGCCCGAGAACTGTGCGCTCCATACATGTGCGTTAACCATGATGTCTGAATCACAGAGCGACGTCGATAATAAAACATTTCCTGGGTAACTTTTAACATCAAGTCGTGTAGAACTGTGTTTTAATACGTTCTCATGGATTTGAATCCAACATGTGTGTAATTGTATTCAGCTGCCATGACTTGTCGGGGGGGGGGGGGTCTCTGATTGGATGATCGGTGTTGATGATCACGAGTGAATCACTATTTGTAATTTGTTATTTTCTGTCCATGAAAAAGTTAGACACACTCTGGCTGAACTGCAGCTGCAAGGTAATCTGATTTAAAGAGCTAAATAAAAGGGATTAAATACAATAGAATACATGGGAGCGATATTAAAAGAAATACAAAGGATAAACCTGTATAGGGAATTAAGCTAAAGATGTAAAATAAGAAATACAATTGATGGAACAGTGTGAAGTAAAGGTTGAATAAAATGCAGGTTTGACCTTTTACAATAGTTTGGTTAAAGGTGCTTGTGAATAAGTTTTATATCTGGTTTTAAAAACTGCAATGGATGGAGCATTCCTAAGATCATCACGCAGTCGGTTCCAGCGCTGTGCTGCAAAATGTCTACAAGCTGCTTCTCCATGTTTAGATTTGAGCCTGGGTACCACCAGTAGACCACCAAGCTCCGTTAAGAGATTTAAAAGTAGCAGTAAACCTTTAAACACAATCCTGTGGTTTATTCTGGCAGTCAGTGTAGAGATTAAAAATGGGGGTGCTTACATTTTGGGAATCAATTGTGGCCCTAAATATAATTTTTTTAACAGTAAAAGATCTTGTTGTCCCTCCAGGCGGATGAAAGGCGAGCCCCGTTAAGAGCGTGGGCTAATGCCTGTGGACCAATAGATCGCTGGCAGCCTGTAGAAGTAGAAGAGTCCAGGAAGGTGCCTGTCAAAGTGGAGCCAGAATGCAGATGGGTATGCAGTCTGTCCTGCTGATCGCCTGAAACATGCATCTTCTCATCTCAGTTTCCTCAGCACATATATAGTCTTAGGATTTTATATTTTCACTGTCATGCTTCTAACAATTCCACTTGCAGATGTAATTTGCACACGTGTGTAAGATGTTTGTCTGTTTACAGGAAAGGAGGTTATTAACGCAAACCAGTGAAGGCATCATCATGGGATTCAATGAAGACAGTCAGACGCACTCAGACGGTAGTGGAATGGGTACCACAATTTCAATATATATCATTAAATTATTAGAATGACAGTTGCTGTTTAACTGTATTATTGTAAAATTAAATGAAAGGCCTAAATGTGTTGCACAATTTTGTTTTTCAATGCTTAAAACCAATCTGGTTGCATGTTCTTAAAATATCTTGTTGTCCTCTCCATCTTGTGTAGATGTTGAGGGATGTGTGGAGGAGCACATGCTTCTTTACCCTCATGGCCTGCAGAGTCTCCACAGCCTTCAGGCGCTGGTACCCAGCCTGCTGCGCCATGAAGTCGAGACAGCGCTGGAGAAACTGGGCCTTATACGGGACCGGACATACGCCTGGGAAATGTTCTTGGTCATGATGGTGAGACAACATGAACAGAGGTTGCTAAAGTGCTTCATGTCTGAGTGTGAAGGACTTATTTTACAAAAGAACACTGAAACACTAAAGATGTCTCAATTCAGCTGCCACATCCTTTAGAGGACACAAACTGTCCATGAAGACGGCCTCCTTCGCGGGCCGCACAGACCGTGAAGGCTGAACCGAACTAAGACGGTCTGGTCTACAGAGGCTTTTTGTGATTGGCAACACCAGCTCGTCCCGCCCTTATTGCTGTCACCTAGCAACAGAAATGAAGTTGGACATGACGAGCATGTTTTAATGCCCCTTGTTTTGTTTTTTTGTGTTGGGTTGAGTTGAACCTTGATAGTCAAGCACTGGACATCTCATCGCTTGTGTAATGGCTCCTGGGATAGGTTGAACCAGGAAGGATCCACCTGTTGGAGCCTTGATTTCTTGGGGATGTAAGGGCTTATTTGTTGGTTGTATTTGACGGCACTTTTAAAATGTGACTGTATTGTCGTGCCGTGTGACACAATCTGTCTTCAAATGCAGCCTCTAAAGGATGCAGCCCCTGAATTGAGGCACAACTCAAGTGTTTATCTTGCGCTTCTTATTTTCCTGTTTTCACCCTACAGAGAACTCAAACACGGAGCTCTTTTCCCAACACTGACCTGCCGCGGCATTTCACCGATGCCACTCGAGCTGTGCTGGTAGACTGGCTAGTTCAAGTTCATGTGAGTCTCACTATGGGTTTTTTCATCCTCAAAGCAAATATTTGTGTAATATTCAGTCATAGATCATATGCTTGTTGTTTGGCTCTGTCGGGACTGTCTATTCGAAATTGTCGTACACTTTGGGAAATTTAAAAAAACATCAATGTTAAGTTGAGTCAGGTGACATTAAAGGAATAGTTCAAAGTTGAAATGTGCTGTAAGTGGTAACCTCCTCCAAGAGCTTCTGTTGTCATCCTGTCAATTTGTTCGTAAATAAGAAACACTGATTTGATTTCCATGAAACTTTGTTGAAGGATGTGCTATGGATCAGTGAAGAACCCATGAAGGTTTGCTGCCCAACAGGGGGCGGATCCAGGAACTGTTGTATCACTTTCTTTAACCTGATGAGGTGTCATTCAACATTTTTACTGATAATCAGGGAGTAATTCATTTATTTTTGAGAAAAATGTGGAACTGATATGAGTTTGTGCAGCTTGATTGAATTAAAGGAGACTGTTGGGTGAAGGCAAGCACTGTACTTAGTTCCATTCTAGTTTGTGATGTGCATGACATTAAATCGTTGGAAAAACAGCAAAAAATTACAGCAGCGCTGTTACTGTTACTGACAGTTCGGAGTAAATCAATAACATTTAAATGTGTGTATGTAGCTGTTTCACATAGCTCAACCACAAGAAACCAGGGGAAAAGGCTAGCCTGCCTTTAACCAACGGCAACCGTCAGTGCGCCTAACGTTCACTAAATGACACATCTCATTTGTTTAATCTTTACAAGACTGCTGTGTTAACACAGTGACTTCCTAACCCAACCAAAGAATAAAAAAAGCTCTTTAACTGTCTTTTTTCCCCACCAATGGATTTCAATTTAATCTATTTCCTACCAGGAAATGATGCATTTCCAGGAAGAGACCCTCTATCTGGCCATACACCTCGTCAACTGCTCTTTGCGTCAGATCAAGGTGACAACAACCAATCTGCAGCTCCTTGGCATGGTCTGCCTCTTCATTGCTGCGAAGAAAGAAGAGTGTCTCCTCCCTGAGGTACGCTGCCTCAACCAAATGACTTCTTAAAACAAGAGACCGATTTCCCAAAACCAATTTCTTCCCATGTCTGCTCCGTCCTGCAGGTGTCTGGACTCTGCTACTTAATGGACCACACCTACACAAAGCATCATCTGCTGCGAATGGAGCGTAAAGTCCTCTGTGGGCTCAAGTTTGATTTGTCCTACTGTCCCCCTCTGCACTTCCTTCTCCTTTTTGCCTCCATCGCTCGCTGCAGTGCAAAGGTAGATCTGAAAAATACGTTCTCAGCTTTATCCTGCGACTCTTGTCTTTCCAAGTTCAGATCTTCTAACACCTATTTTACTTCTGAGATATTTGTATAACACACCCATTTGGTCGTATATTTGCTGGGAATTTTCTCACTATGTTCTCACATGGCCTTACTCTGACCCTTTACCAGGGGGCTGGTTGGAAAAGTTCCAGAAAATGCTTGGCAACAACTGACTCGGGACATTTGCTTTTCCACAAACAGCCCCTCTGGAAAATGTCTGGACTCCAGTGCATGTCTAAAAGGACATTTCAATTCCCTCCCTGTGACTATAAATTCTGCCAGTTACTGACGATGCACAAAACCTATGCTGAAGATCGAAGGGGGTGTCGAGCAGCAGACTGTCATGGCTACCTGTTGAGCTGCTTTTAACTCTGGTGTGGGAGTTGTGATACACATTCAGTGCAATTAGCTACTGTTAACAACTCTCTCCATAGTGCTTTTATCAGAAATGTGTAAATATCAAGAGTCATGGTGTCTTTTAATAGAAGCATCTTCGGCAAGTGAGGTCTGATGTTTAATCCCATCCTATCTACTTGCGCCACCAGGTGGTGTGGATGGCTCGGTACCTGCTGGAGCTCTCTCTGCTGGAGGGCCAGTGTGTGGTGTTCCTCCCTGCACAGCTGGCTGGGGCCTCCCTCTGCTTGTCCCGCCAAGTCCTGCAAGAGCCACCGACACCAGAGGGAGGGGCCGCCTGGTGTCTGGCCTCCAGTATCCATGTTGGCAGGTGTGCACTCACCTTATCAACTGTCTATTACTTGACACTGAGCAATGATGTTATAACCACAATGCCCTTTTTTTACAAGCCCTAGTTATGACATTGTTAGCTCTACAGTCATTTAGCTCTGTTTCTACTCCTAACTTTAAAGCTGCAATACTTAAAACTTATTATCCACCATTAATCCTTGCTGTGAGTTTGACCTGTGTTTTGTGCGTTTCAGTGAAACTGCCCTGCTGGCAATCATGCACATTCTGGCCAACGCTGCAGCCAAGGCCCACACAAGAGAGACCTGTGCAACTTTTATTAAATTCTCCTCCCCAGAGACCATGCACGTCAGCAGACACCAGGGTCTGAAGAACGCCTCTGCCCTTCTGGGTGTACGCTCTTGACATATCTGACCTACAGGAACTGCACAGAATCCCAGAGCTTCAAGGTAGAGACACTAGACTGCTATAACTTGAGTACTTGACTCCTGTGTGTTCCAAGCCTCTGGATCCTGAGGAATTACCACGGAAAAGGGTGAGGAAGAAGTTTGAAAGATTTAATGCAAATTGTTTGACAGAGAATTGCATGCACTACGCATACATGTGGCACACGTGTTTTATGATCTTATCTTGCAGCCGATTTAGAAAATATTTGAATTGTAATGATGTGTCCTTGTCTTTTCATTTGTGGAGAGGATGTGGGCTGTCTATCATATCTATATTTGAAAGTTTTAATGTAAAAATAAAGTGTCTGCTGCAAAAGTACCGAACTTGAGGAAGTTATTTTGCTCAAGGGTTGCGAAGTTTCTGCATTTCTACCAATCCAACAGACTGTGACTGCGGAACCACCACTTGGCCACTCCCAGTCCCTACCCAGTTTAGATGAAATAACGCCCACCACTGCATGATGAAAGCCTCGACCTACCAAAGCCTTATTCCTCACACTAACTCATACAGAAGAGGGCATGGCTTCGCCTCAACCAGTTTTGTCCTATTTCTTTAATCCAGCTTCACAGTCACACGAAGTTAAATAACGTGGAGCAGCTGCAACACACACACACACACACACAAACAGAACTTTGCAGCATGAAAGGAAACAAACACACACACTTTAAAACTGTATTTCGAGTATCCACCCTCTCCTACACCTGCTCCATAAATACCAGCTCAGTCACGGCACCAGTTTTTCTGAGCACAGGCAACAAGAGTGCAGCTGTGGAGCTGGATCCTCACCCACCGCCTGTAGTCTTCATCATGATCTAAACGTGACTCTTCATCACTCTGCTGCTGCGCGTTCTCTTCTTCTTCCTCCTCCACTACAGCTGTGCGCCTGCTACACGTGCGCTGCTCTCTGATTGGCTGTCGCGGCCTCCAATGGGCGCTGAGCTCCCGCGCAGACGGCTCTCATTGTGTCTGGTAGGTGGTCCGCGGCCCGGGAGGCGGCCCCGGGTTCAGCCGAGGTAAAGCAGGCAACCGCCGACCGAAGCCTCCGCGTGTGCTGGTGGAGACACCGAGCCGCCGCTCCTCCACATCCGCTCTAATGAAACAACCTGCCGATACTGCCTTCTTCGCCCCCCACTCTTGGTTTTCTAAAACCTCCCGTCACCTTAACTCAGCGGCGTCAAGCTAGCTAGCGTTAGCCGCCGGGATTTCAAAACAAAAGCGTGAGAGTGGCGCCTGTCGGATAAACGCTCTGGTAAGTTCTGCTCGAAGACTATAAAAACCAAATCAATGGATGGCGCTGGACACTCTCTGAGTAGGTGAACTTGCCTTTAACATCGTCCGATGTTGTTTTAAGCTGTGCATTTTGTATTGAAACCAACCGGATGTGCTGTCTTGTTATTGTGACTAACTTTGAGCCGCACTGTTTTTCATTCTAGTGTCAAATACAGCTGATTTGACAAAAGAGGAAAAGTAAAGAACATAGTTGTAGTTCTGTTTGATAACCGCTTCAACATGCTCCTGCTTGCTATATTAGCATTTCTCCACGCCCTCGACTTATAAGGAGGAGACTAGTCTTTTAGATTGTGTATATAATTGTCTTTTAAACACTTGGGGGCAGGTTTTGCAAACATGACACATCACATATAACTCGGACTGGGATATTGTCAGCTTCTCGAACACTTTCTGTTCCAGCTTCCACTCTGACGTAACTTTCTTTTCACGTGTCCGTCGCGGTGTTCGCGGCTGCAAACGTGCCCAATGTTTCATGAATCGTCCTCGTCAATGTACGTGTTTACAGGCCGCGTGAGAGACACTGAATATAGGGGACAGAGACAGACAGACAGAGGGCTGGACTCAGAAGTGCAGTGTTGCATAACATGTGGGTGGGGGTGGGGGTGGAGAGGGCACCTAAGGACAGGGGCTGCTGCCTTCACGGAAACGTTCACCTCCGGAAAGCCTCTGCAGCTTGTTTGAAATGCTTCACGTGGAGAGTGTGTCAAGAGGTAGATGTGCTGTTTGTCAAAGGTGGTGGTCGTTTTTGTGACCTAGAATAATACTCTCAGGAGCGTGTACCTTCACTGAGGCCCAGCAGACCCATAAAGTTCAATCGAGCTGCATCAAATGTCAGATATCAGGTCTTTACATGAGCCGGATTTGTCATCTAGATGCATGAAACACTCGCTGGGAAACGTGCGTCTTGTCATGTTAAAGAAAGTCAAAATCAGATACCCCTACTGCGTTCCTCCACCGAGTTTTGTGGCAATCTGTCAAGTGGTTTTTGTGTTATGCTTTTAAATATAAGACAAAAAATGTCCTACAGTCCCTTAATGAAACCACACTAAATCTACACTAAGTTTCCAGTACTGATACATTTCCGTTCCTCAAACACACCAAATTAGTTTTCATCAAGATCAATGTATTTACTAATATGAATCATCACAATGTAATGATCAATGGATATACAGCAAAAGTTCAATGCACATCAATACACTGCTTATGCATTGTATAAAGTGAGGAGGTATAACACAGCTCAATTGATCTACCTCAGATTTGTAGAATGTTTTACGATCAAGTGTTTATCATTTTCTGCTCTGGGTAGATTACAATGTGGATATCCACGGCACACTGCAATGTTTTTTTCCTCCTCCTAAAAGCGTCCTCATCTCACCCACATCTCTTTTAGACAAATAACTCAAAGCAGAGCGCGCACTGCAGCGGAGCGTCTGGTGTCATGCGAGGACATCTATAAGAGGGAGTCTGGCTGTTGATTTCCAAGACTGACTCAGCCAGTAATGGACAGCACAAGAATGCGTATGAAAGGCTGTTCTTATTAACAAAGCTACAATCCCCTGATTATTTGACAAGTATCTACACCTGAGGACAGCTTTACCTGAATGCGTCATAGGTAATGACAGTCACTTTCTTGTTTGCATTAAGGCTTTGTGGTTGGATTTGTAGAACAATAGGATCCTAGGTACTTGAGCAATGTGTGGGCAGATTAGTATGTAATCCTGTTCTATCAGCCTTATAATCTTGTACTAATGTTAATTTCTAAAAGTTTAACCCTCATATATTTTACTTTATTTTCCATGCCCTATTACTGGAGTTTCTTTCAATTCTAAAGTATTTTTGATAGCTGTCATGCAGGTTTGTGTGAGAAAGAAAGAAGGAATTAAGTTTCCCCTGCAGCGTTTTTTTGGGCAAGCTCTAGCAATCTTGTAAAAACATGAATTTACTCTCCATTGTGCTCCATTGTCTTAAGCTGTTAGCTCAAATTTCAGTGTTTTATTTGGTTAAGCCAAGTTTTATGCACCACGCGCCCTGTGTGGTGTTAAGAGATGGTGTGCACAGGCTGTCATTGTGCATCAATTGCCACTGTTACATCCCCAAAAGGCAGACACATGACCATCAGTATGTGTCAGTGTCAATCTAGTGGAGAAAAAACATCGGAGATGCTACTAAATCGTGTAAAGCTGTTGTCCAATAGACTGCACAAACAATTCAAGAAATAATTTAGGCAAATCCTTTATATACGGGCTGTTCAATATCCAGGAAAAGAGGAGCAGCATAGGTATGTAGTATTAACAGAACTGTTGCCGCTGAACATGGGTGTGGATTTTATTGTCATCTGAGTCATTCCAAATATGCTGCATTCAAAGTATGTATTTGATGCTTCAAATGCTGGGAATTCAACTGTAATATAAGTTGTAAATTATTAAAAGCCAGCAGGAATATTAATTTGTAGGTTTTAGTGTTTTGCATCTTTATTAAAATAAAGTGCTTTCTACCCCAATGGTCATGAGTCTGTCTCAACATGCAGTGGGTGACGGGCACAGGCAGGGTACAGCCTCACAGGTCTGAAGTTGTGTTTCTATCCTGGCATTTTCCAGCTGTTACCAACAGTCTCATCACATGTTTTTTCTCATAAGGGTCCAGAATGCCAAAGGAACAGCCTTGCCTGAGCAAGCACAGCCCCTGTGATACGTCCAGCAAGAATGCTAAAGATGAGCGCAACAGTACGACTCTGCTGGCGAAGCATGAAACTAAAGACGCAGACGACTCTAGTGGAAGGGGCTCCAACTGCAGCTCAGAAAAAGACTCTGGCTACTCTGGTGAGTTTAAGAAAACAAGGCAGAAATATAACTTGAGAATTAAAGATTTTTCAAGTTTGATTCTCTGTGGGACAAAAAGTGTTGTATATAAAGTGCAGGACATTTAAATGAGAAATAGGGTTGATGTTCTTTTTAAACTGAGTTCCTCAATCATAGGTGACAGATATAACTTGAAGAAAGTCACAGACACTTAAATGAAGGTTTGTGTCAATTTCTTTTGCTGCCAATGACTGAATGTTTGAAATCTGTGACCCATAACCAACGATCCATAAAGATGATGCAGACACTGAAACTGAACCTGCCCAGGTCAACTGAGTTGATGACCGACTATCTCACTTCTGGATCATAAAATCTCAAGATCATTCTCCTGGTGCATTGTCTTAAACCTCTAAAAACAACTGTACAGTTGTGCAAATAAGACTGAGAGAGGCATTAACTGACTGAGCTCGACAGCAGTACCAGAATGAAGGTGAGTGCTTAGTTTAGATCTGAACGTACCCAAATGCGTTCTTAGATCCAATCTCTCTGACCACATTGGGAGGTGGCTTGCGACGCATGTAGCCACATTATTATCACTGTGTGAACACAAATGCATCCTGGACCACATATGTAAGACCGCCTACTCAGCTGTTGCCTCTGACATATTTAAACCACACCATTTAGTCTTCATGATCAGAAATGACGATCATGACCATTTGCATATAGTGCAGGGAAGTGAGATCTGATAAAAAGTGGTCACAGGAGACCAGGACGTCAGCGTACAGAACACATTTTAATGGCAGATGTTAACAGACACTGACCACCTGTGATCGGATCTATCAGGATCCAGTCTGAACGCACACCTGACTTGTGAAGGTGCTGTGCAGTGGGTGCTGGTTTTGTTTATTTTTTTTCGCTCTGCTGCTGTCAGGAGTAAGTCAAGCATCACGCCAACCACAGAGTAGGCTTTCCTCATCAGCATGTGCAGCAGCATAGCGTCCCTCTGCTACGACTGCCTCCCCTGCTTTCCAATTTAGTAATTCTATGCTACAAGGCTGTGTGCGCACACCCATTTCCACAGGTGTGCTCAAAAATCTTGAGGAATTTATGACAGCGTGTCACTCTTCTCACCCCTTGGCCAAAATGCGGCAGTATCACTTCCCACTTATGTCACAACAGCTCAACTTTCCCTTTGTACACAGCTTCTGCATCAGTTAGATTTCCTCATTTCTGTGTTGTCTTCTCGGCAGACGGCTCAGACTGGCAGCAGATGGACGTGGAGGACCAGCATAGTGACAAAAGCCAGTCCAGAGGTAGTGAGTGCACAGAAACATCACAGCCTGACCAGATCAAAGAACGTAGGCAAGGAATTCCTGAGAATCCTACCCTGATGCTTGCAGGAAGTGAGCTCCCACCCATCTACGTTATCGACAACATGGTGCTGAAGCAGGTAAGGCTGGTGTAGGTAAAGACACTGATGTAGGGAAGAGATACACACTCCTCCTATTCTAAAAATGATTCTTCTAAACTTACTGTTTACACTAAGCTATAAGATCGCAGGGCAGTGGACTCCTAGAGTCTCTGCACAACAAGAGCAGGGTACATAGTGTGTTTTGAGTGATGTGGGTCATTAACGTAAGATGCACCAACATAAGTGTTTCCCCCAGAATTACTTCAGTCTATAAGTAAGGATGCACGGAGGTCACTCTCAACAGACTCTAAATGACCGATCCACAGACTAACATGGGTAAATGTAATTTTGGGGATTTTCTTTGTTTCCTTTTTATAAATTTTTGCTGCCTCCTCCTTTCTTTATAATGTACATTTAGACATACCTTATTAGCCTATTAGCCCACAGACTACAACAAATATTTCACTTTGGGTCCTTGTTTTCTCTGTGTCTCATACTTGGTTTATTTTTCCTCCCTGTCCCACCAGCCGGACACGATCCAGAAAAAAGGTCAGCTACTCTGGAGAAATAAAAGCCTGGAATCATGTAGTTCCAAAGTTCCCCATGTGATCATGTTGCCGACCACCCGGCAGCACCACAAACCCTTGTCCCGGAAGCCCAACATCACTGGCAAGAAAAGAAATGGCACATACCTGCCTATTTTTAACTCCTATCCCCGCATTGCACCACACCCCAGCAAGAAGCCCCCAGATAAATCTTCATCAAATGACAAGCCCCAGAATCTAAGCCAGAGTGTGTGCACAGAACATAAGAGTGACAGCACACCAGGGACCAGGAGTCTGCTAGAGCAGCACCTTAATAAGCAACCCGAATTAGCATTCTCATGCTCCTCTTCACCAAGAGATACTGTATCCTCCTCCACTTCCGTTATTGCTTCCTCGGGCCAGGGCTCTCCATCTGCATCCACTGTCCGCACCACAGGCTCCTCCTCCCTCCTTGCATCAAGAGGACTTCAAAGGAATGGCACCACTAATGTTCGCCACTGCCGTTTCCTCAACACATTAGAAATCCTCCGACAATCAGGTTTACTAGACATTACACTGCGCACCAAGGAGCTGCTGCGCCAAAGCAACGCTACCGAGCAGGAGATTTCCCAACTGCGCCAGCACACAGAGCTGCTGTGTCAGGCCGCCAGAAACCCCAGCTGCGGCCCGAGCTCTGTCACGGCCTGGGAACCTCTCCACAGGGCCATGTCCGAGTCCTGCAGGTACCCCAACCTCAAACTCCTGCAGAATTTACAAACCCCGCCTCATCCAGATTCCTCTGGTCAACCAGAGAGTATTAACATGGTTGACAGCGGGCAGTCAGCCACTGAGAACTCGGATGTGTTACCGTCTTATTGTCCCACCGCCTTACTGGATCCAAACCAGAACTGTTCTGTATCACAGTATCAATCGGAACAAAGCAGGGAGCTCACCACCGGTGGGAAAGTCACCTTTACACCTCCTGACAGTTCTACCGGTTAACACAATCTGCAGTGCCTTGAGGAGGAGATTGTGCCAGTGGAGAACCGGCATTTGTGTTTTGAAATGATGTGGGTTTTTTATGTTATATCTTTGCTTATTTTAGAATGTACTGTACAAGATGTCATTTTGTTCCCAGTTGATTTATTAATTTCACTGGAGTTACGTTTTTTGACATCTGAACTTTGATTTCATAATTAATGTGCTTAAGTGCAATTCATTGCCAAGGCACCATCATCTACCACCACTGCAGACGTTGCAGAACCACACGCAGGAGGAGACGCTGTCTGCACGCGAGCCACTTGATGGATTGTGTGAAAATATGTTTCCTTATGAGGAAGAGGACATTTGCTGACCATCAAGGCGCATTTAATGCAGGTATGACAACTTCCGCATGCACTACCAGGTCAGTTGTTCATTTTGCCTTCACAACAGTTGGACTTTATTCAGGCAAAATGGGAATAAATCCATCTCCTTGTAGATCATGTTTGGATGAAAGTGAGTTGTGTCCCAATTCAGAGGCTGCATTCATTTGGTTGAGTTGAAGCATGATACTACAAGTATTGTACCTGTGGTTTTGCCAGCGCAATTACCTCTTTAAAAAACGGTCATTTAAAGCACAATGACTCCTGGAATAGCTTGGGTCAGAAAGGATCCACCTGCTGGAGCCCTCGTTTCTCTGGGATGGAAGGATGCATTAGTTGGCCGCATTTGAAGGAACCCTCGATATTGGACAGTCCAGTGGCACCACAGAGATGCGATTGCTTTTCAAATGCAGACTCTGAAGGCCGCAGCCACTGAATGAGACACAGCTGTAGTTTCCTGAGCAAGAGCAGTCGCTGAGATTGGTGCCTTCGAAACTACAGAAAAAAGCTCCACGAAAAACGGCACTTTAAGGAAACTGGTAGCATTTGAGGCACCTGATGTTGCAGAGAAACTCCTCCTGTAACGTCACAGACTGCATCACACTGGACTTCTGCAGGGACTTGTTTCCAAACGCTTCCCCAACAATGCCTTAAAGACTCAAGTGATATTTTACTCTCTACAAAGATACATAACCGCCGCAGGTTGTGATACTCATTGAACTCTATTCATTTCACACACACACAGCACATGCCTTGCGATAATAGAAGCAATTTAACCACAGACTGGATGACTGCATCGCTCAGGTCAGTTACACCAGCTCCTCTCATGCAGCCGCTTTCTCCAGTTGGATGATTTTCTTTTTGTTTGCACCTAGCCACTAAGTGTTTGTCTTGTGGTCGACCGTTTTTTCATTCATAGATGTAGCTCCGTTTGCATCGTGAGCCTGAGAGAGTTTGACAGTGTTTTTGTATAAAAGTGTGTTGACTCAGTGATTTTTTTTATGCATGTGGTATTCGTGGGATTATTCTTCCACTACTTTGGGCTCATGCATATTACAGAGAGCACTGCTAGCGTTCTACACATTTCTGAAACTGAAAGTGGTTTATACAGTTTTTCATAATTTTAAGGTATTCAAATAAAGCAATTTAAAAAAAATTGACAGTTTCCTTGTGTTATATAAATCTTTTCACATTGTGTCTAATATTACGGTTTAATTTCCATACAGTGAGTTTACATAACCATGAGGGAATCCAGCTGCCGTTATAGAAACAGGAAAAGGCTCATGCTGGTTGTGATGCATATATGAGAAGTACAGTGTTTGTGTGTGCTGTCCCGTCACATGTAGTAAAGCAGTGATTTTTATGACAAGGGGCTTATGAGTACTGAGATGTTTCTCCTCCGATATGTCCTTTAATATAAACTTCAGAACTTTAAATGACAACATTTATTTGAATTATATTGAATTATATAAAATTGTGTTTTACAATGCAGCTTTTCATACTTTTATTTTTTAAATCAAAATAGGTATCAGATGGTGTGAAAAAACAAGTGGGTTAAAAGAGGGTTATCTTTTCATCTGTGTTTATTTGTCTGTTGGCAGGATTACGCAAAAATGACTAAACCCATTTCCATGAAATTTTGTGGCGAGATGAGGCACGGCCCAATGAAGAACCTGTTACATTTAGGACCAGATCCAGAAAAAACCTGCAGATACAGGTGGATTTTTTTTTTCCCACTTCAACATGGTGAAATAGAGCGTTAGCCTTGGTGGAGGTATCTGACCGTCCTTCAGCGTTGGAGCCTGAACTCTGTTTTCAAGATTCTGAGCAGGCAGAATCTAGAAGGGCACTTGGAGAGTGCATACCTCCGCCAGGGCTGATTGGCCACTTTACCACCATATTGCATATACATTTATTGAGATCAGATGAATATACATAGAAATCCTCTGTCCTCATTGTCTACGCATTGGTAGTTGTTTCACACTCCTAGCTCTGAATAATGATCAGCTACAAATTTCACCTGTTTGTTAATATTAGAACTCTAAACAAGCCTGACATTTTTCATAAAGATCTCCATTATTTCTTGAGCAAGACAAAAATAAATAATACCCTATCCCACAATGTTAAAGAAAGGGATAAAACAAATCCACCCCTTTGCTATAAAATACCTCGTACCCCACCTTTCCACCAATTTTCCCAAAAATCTATTCAGTAGTTTTTGCGTCTGCTCACAGATACACCCACACACAGCAATGAAAACCCTCGTTTGCAGGGAAAATAAGATATTCCAATGAGCAACCAGGCCACTCAGTACCACCTCTTACATGTCGGGCCTATAGATGCAGATGCCAAACAGCTGAGGATCAGGTGAATCTTACACGTCAGCCAGCTAACTTCTGTACCTCTTCCCCTCCAATGTGCTGCAGCTCAGCCTCTCTGTCTTTGGTCAGTGAGAAGTCAGGGTCAGGTTCGCACAGCTGAAGGCAACGCTGTGAGATAGAGGTAAAAAGTCGACAATAATTTAGCACAGAGGTCCAACAGAACTGTCCATCAACTAATGTGGCAAATATGTACAACTAAATAAGTTGTGAGTCAGTTGGAAAATGTGTTTATTGCGTTGTTGCAGTGATATATGAGTTAATTACTATCAAGAATACTGCAATACTATAGAGAACGTAATTTGTACTACTATATAATATTTGTAAACTTAAAACTTAAGCATGTCAAACTTTAAAAGGCCTTCCCGCCTACACATTTATAATAACAATGATGAATAATATTAAAAATGTACAGCTTATTTCGTGTTTTGATGTGGATCTGAGACTACATTGGAAGCTTGTGCGTCATTGTGCCAAACTTCCTCATGCTTACTGAATACACTGACTCCAAGCTTTTATTATACTTCAGCTTTTTATAGCAGCATTAAGTTTTATTTGTTCGTAAATGTTTTGCATCAGGATTTTAAAAGGTTAGCCAGGGATCATGAAGCACATGAACAGGACGTTGTTTTCTGTTTCATATAGTTAGAAAAAGCAGAAAATACTTGTGTCCGCAGTCATCAAGTCAGTTACTGTATATTTTCTGATCATGCAAAACTAATCACGTTGTTAAAAAACCTTTCCATTACTTAAAAGTCCATAAAGTCCTGAGCAAACTTTAAGAATGAATCATGACACAGAATGATCGATTTTATCATTGTCCCACCTGAGAGAGGGTTCCAGTCCCAGTTCCCAGCTTATATAACGCAAAACCTGGCACAAGCAGGATGGAGGACAGGGCCAGTGCCCAGCCCACTATGTTTGCCCAGGCTGGGTACACATACCAGCGATTGAAGTTCAGAGGCTGGTACTCGACCAAAGAAAATATAAAAGAGCTCTGAGGAAGCAAAAAGAAACACTTGGTTGATGTTTAATGGATGGAATATTTCTGGTTAATTAAGAAGTTTAACTTAACAAATGGTGCTGTGAGGATATTCACAATCATCTCATGTCCCAACAGTGTGGGCCTGACTCACCAGTGAGACCAGCGGTGTGAGATAGAGCCAGCACATTTTAAAGAATATGTTGGCACGCACACCCGTCATGTCCTCAATGATGTCATACAACCTCTTGACCCCTTGATGGGAGATGAGGTTGGATTAATGTTAAACAAAAACCAGATGAAAACAGACGTGTGCAAATGACTGGGTGTAATTTAAAAGGGAAAACTTTTCTTCAGTCGGTGTTGTTGCTGTGTTTACCAGTCAGTGAGGATTTAACAAAAAAAACAAACAATGCTATTGGTTGGTTTATGGGATACAATAGATATTATGGGATATATTATTAGGATACCAAACTTACCAAATACCCATCCAAGTGCCAGGGTTTCAAACACACAGAGAAAGAGGATGCAGGCTCCGTTACAAGCGTAGTAGTCAAACATTTGGAACACATACATCCCTCCCTGGAGACAAAAGCAGAGATTTTTATTTTACTTTACCTTTACTGTCAACCTCACATGGATGGAAGCCTGTTAGAGACATTTAAATATAAATATTTAAGCACTGACCTCAGTGATCATGATGAGCTGAGAAAAGAAGCAGGTGAGGCAGAAGAGGAGGAGGAAAACTTCCCGTCGACCTGCTCTGCGCATTACAACAGGAAACATGTCTATGATGGATGTCATCACTACCTCCATGGCGACAAACTGTAAAGAGAACAGATGAGACAGAAATGAGCAGAGGTCCAAATGGGAACATGCTCTCCTTTAGAGTCCATACTCCATAGTGTGTCTTACCTGTGTGTCCAGACCCAAGAGAAGGAGCATAACAAAGAAACAGATGGACCACAGCTGAGGCAGAGGCATCATGGCTACAGCCTGAGGGTAAGCAATGAATGCCAGCCCTGGACCTGGAGAGACAACAGCAGAATGGATCATAGACTGGTCTCCTACTGTCTGCCTCTGGGTAACTTACTGGAAATATCAAATCAATTAAAAATCGTCCACAAACGTCTGTCTGTGGAGCATATATCTCATTTTATCGGATTCACACTTGAGATGTGCACCGTTAAGGATGGAAGACAACGACTGACAGCAGCCAGTGGCAGCTGTGATGCCTGGATGTGCTGTCAGGTGCACAATGCTGTTACACTGGTTTGGGCCGAATGACTGCTGCTGTGCTTATCATGTCCTCAAGATGGCAGCAAAGTGTTTATGTAGATTTTCAATCTCAGCAATATTTGCAGTGTTGAAGTGGGCACATTTGGGTGCATGGGAAATATGTTTTAAAAAATCTGTCTTCAGTAATTTAAGTTGAAGTTTAAAGCAAGAGTAAAATAAGACGACACTCCCAATTAAAGTCAGTGTGAGTGGAGGCCTCCTCTGCAGAGTCAAAGCTCGAACAAGTTGCCAGAGTTCAGTTATTCTTTAGAAAAGGGTGTGTCTGTCTGAGTGCTCCTGGTGGATTGCTTTACCTGACTCGGCCACTTCCGAAATGGGAATGCCTTGCTCATGAGCCATGAACCCCAGCACAGAGAAGACTGCGAAACCAGCCACCACACTAGTAGCACTGTTCAGCAAACACAGCCACAGACAGTCTCTGCAAAATACAAGAACTTAGTTTACGATCCATGAGTGAATATGTTCATGTTATGAACAAACATAATTGATCATTTTAATACGCTGTTGCTTATCTATTGATCAAGTCGAAAAATGAAAGGAACCCCTCCAAAAAATTAACCGGCCTGTTATGACGCTGCTCAAATTGACCAATTTCATTAAAAATATAGTTTTAGAATCCTGGAAATATCATTTTAATCACATCGGGAACCCTTTGCTGTTGGCTTGATTAGTTTGATGTTATCGCAGCCTGGCAGTTTATCACTTTTGTATCTGTGTCAGCCAGAAACACATCTTCATGTTGTGTTTATTTGCAGCTTGTTTGCGTGTTTGCTTGTGTTGTCAGTATTTGCATAAGTCTGCAAGCCCAAAGACAAACAGCAAGATGAAGCAACACATGCTTCAAATATTTTCACATACATAACACACACACACTCACAAACATGGATCTTAAACTACGTTTGGGTTGTTGAAAATGCTGAACATTGCTGGACAGTTAAACGCAGTGACACATTGAGAAATACTTACTTATAGCAGTTATTGTTGTAGGTGTTGTAGCTGCCGAGCACAGTTAAAGAGCCCACACCCACACTGTACGAGAAGAAGATCTGAACCCCGGCCTCCATCCACACCTGTCTCAACAGAGCAGTGCTGAACTTTTAGGATTTGTCCACTTACACCTTTGACATATTTCTTTACCTATCTCACCCACCTGTGGGTCTGTGAGTCGTGACGGTTCAGGCAGCAGATAAAACACCACTCCTTGTAGAGCACCAGGAAGAGAGAGTCCACGGATCAGAAGAATCAATAACATCACATAGGGGAAGGTAGCAGTGAAATACACCACCTGGGAAAAGAGACATTTATAAACATGTATCGGAAACTTTTAATGCGGCACAGCCTGGAGCTTATATAAATACCTTGCCTGTGGATCGGACTCCTTTCCAGATACAAAAGTAGCAGGTGACCCACATGGCAATAAGACACAACAGCACCTCCCACCTGATGCTGCCTATCTCCTCAATCCCCCCTGAGATAGCCAGCACTCGTCGT